TTTTTCGAGCGATTTTAAAATTCGCGGCGATCGGGCGATAAAAATCGCTCGTGTGCCCCTACCTTTACACAAAACTTACCCATAACTTATTCGACGTACGCCAGCGTATTCGCCAAATTTTTCATACGTCGGCATACGCTGGCTAAATCGTCAATGTGTGACAGAGCCATTATATAGCGTATACTCGATGCGTATACGTATGCGTATATGCGATAGCGTATGCTCGAGAGACATTTCTGCGCAGAAAGCAGAAAACTACGCGGCGGAAGTAAATGTGTACGTGGCGTACGTCTGCGTGCGCAGGCAGCTGAAATGGATAGATATAACCAACACTTTTATAACCAACACTTTTTACTCTCTCGTGGGAACCGCGCATAGCTGCTGAACGGTAAACGCTGCATTTGTGCATCGTACATTGGATTTAGCTGGAGCTGGCAGACGGGAACTGCGGAGCAGGCCGATATGCTCCCTCAACACGAATCGACAAGCAATAAATATAAATTCCAAAATTCGCCCAACGTACATTCCTTCGTTTCCAGTAATAATCCCTGCCGTCCCATGGCTCCGATGCGATCGGTAATGGTTTGAATTTGGTAGAAATGCCCATAATTGGAAATATGGAATATGTGGACGTATATGTAGTTTTTAGCATAAAGGCCTATATCAACACAAAATGTTTCAGAATTAATCCGTGAAAAGAAGCGCCACAAGACCGTCAAAACACGAGACTAGGGCATTCACACTTTTTATCTAAACGGAAAATGGTAACAGTATATTTCTGGTGCGTTGTTGTGTCTCGATTTCTTTAGTTTTTAATTTTCTAATTTACAACGCAACAGACGTTGGTTATTCACTTGCAACTGAAATTACAGTGACCTACTCACGCTATAACACCCGTTACACCGTTACACGTTTCACTCACGTTATAGCTTTTTTACTACAATCACTCACGCTATAACACCCGTCTTTCGCGAGACAGAGATTCTACTACACTTCATCGAACTCAGCACGAAGCCACCAGAGTCTCACCGTATACCTGTCGAAACGTTCTACGTATATGAATATGTACAGTATATGTATAAAATTACATGTATATGTATATGTGTATGTATGTATGTGTTCTGTGTATGTATATGTTAGTGTAACGCCTGGTCGTGCCCACTAGCAGTTATAACTTCACGCCCGTGGGAAAGGCGTGGTGGGAAGGTTGCACTGTGTTCGAGATTACGCTTGGCTATTCACATGCGGTTCACCGTGCGCACGGGAAGGGGAGGAGGGTTACATAGCAGCTAAAGTACTGCATGGCATATGCAAACTTCCGCTCCAAACAGAGATAGATAGATGGCCAGACGGGTGGACGGGCGGGCGGAAGGTCGGACGGACGGACGGACGGACGGACGGACGGACGGACGGACGGACGGACGGACGGACGGACGGACAGACAGACAGACAGACAGACAGACAGACAGACAGACAGACAGACAGACAGACAGACAGACAGACAGATAGACAGATAGAGAGATAGACAGATAGACAGATAGACAGATAGACATAGATAGACATATCTATCTATCTATCTATCTATCTATCTATCTATTTATCTATCTATCTATCTATCTATCTATCTATCTATCTATCTATCTATCTAGATAGATAGATAGATAGATAGATAGATAGATAGATAGATAGATGGCTAGACTGCTAGATGAATAGACAGACAGACAGACAGACAGACAGACAGACAGACAGAGAACGAAAGAGAAAGCAGAGGGAAGAGAATCTCTATAGAAGAGACATAT